TAGGCAGCTGCTTTATTCTTTAACACAAAGACCAAGGTAAGAAGCAAAGAAACAGCCAAAGAAAATAAACTTTATTCATCTTCACTGTGTAGTAATAGGTCAGGGCAAATACCATGATGCTGATCAATTTTAATCTCGGGATTTGGAAAGAAAAAACTCTGTGGCTTTAAATATCTAAAGTCGTTTTGTTGCTTATCTAAAAAATACAAACAGTAAGGGATATTATGAAAATTCAATCCAGGTATCATGGGGGAACCACAACGTTTGAAGTCTCAATGTTGATGAGCCTCTGAAGTACTGGGGGAAAGCCAAAATGTGGTTTGCCAAGGAAATGAAATCTTTGAATTAAAGTAAACTGTCATCTTCCATCAGAGCTGTAAGGCATTATTACTGGTCAGTTCTCTGCTTTTTAATATTTAAATCTATAAAACAAGGATTTTTCTTTACTTTATTTGAGAGTAAATATTTCATTTTGTGTTAGATTTGTGTCAAATATAAATTATATATAATATACACTGGGCATGGTAGAGCATGCCTCCAATCCCAAGCACTCAGAGATAGAGGCAGAATCAGAAGTTTGAGGTTATCCTTAGCTACACAGTAAGAAGATAATCCTAAGAGAAATATGTACTCAATGGAGAAACCCAAACAGAAGTCAGATGACATTAAACCACTCTCAGTGTCTCAGAGGACATTGTCCCTTTGCTCTACAAATTTTCACAGTGTTGATTACATCACCATCAACCTGTTAGTAACTTCTGAAATTGAGTCACTGAGGACTGTTTTGTTGTTCATGCAGTCACTCTGTGTGTGCTGGTAACAATATAAAACAATCGTTGCTGTTACAGAAATTACAGGGAAGCCTGTCTCTGCTCCCTCCCCACCCCCAGTCCTAGAATGAGCGTCTAGGGTTGCTAAAACATTGGATGAGCATCTCTGACAGGCTAGGACTTACCCTGTTACTTAAGACCACTCATTCTTTGAACAGAGAGAGTGCTGAGAAATCTAGTGTAAGTTGTAATTTTAGATGTGGCAAGAGGGAAGGGAACTAAGACTGATCTCATTAGAGAAGGAGCAATGAAAATCTAGCTTAAAACTGTCCATTGCCAGGAGAGAGAAAGTGTTGCATGTTTATGTGAAGACTGAAGTGAGTGGTGATGTGATGAACTGTGATTGGGGACAGAAAGCCTCCTCACCAGCTCCTGCTCCACAGACTGTGCTTCTCTCAAGGACCTCTGATGAACAGCCATCAAAAAGCAAGTGTGAGTTGTTGTGATATACTTTTCCATATTCTCAGAAATAAAGGCAGAGAGCAAACAGATTTAAAATTTAGAACTCATTTCATTGCAACTGATACTTCAGAAAAGCGGGGGCGGGGAAGCAGTCAGCAATCATTTCTGATAAACTGTTAGTCTGAGCAAACGCAAAGCTGGAATTTTCCTGCAGTGGCCTTCTCCTAACTATAAGGACCAGTTGATAAGACAGTTAGGACTTAATAGAAATATAAAAACTATGGGGAAATACTCACTACCTCCCAAAAAATCTACTATTGTCAAAGAATCCAAACAGTACCCATGTAAAAAATAATATTCGAAGACTCCCATCCCCAGCAAGTACTAATATCATTTTATCCCTTTGTGGGGGGAGATGCAGCATTCCAACTCTTCTAGAGCCTAAACAATCATACTTACATTTATAATTAAGATAAAAATACCTCAAATATATTTTAAAACTCAATAAGTAGAGAATCTGAGAAGGAAAGAAACTGAGTCTTAAATGTTCTTAGAACTCCCACACTAACAATGTGGTGTTGCATGGGTTAAACCCCTGGGAAATGTCTTTAATGTTAGTTGAAACAACATTTACATGGGCGAGGCAAAGGTTGTTATTCGTTGAATGAAATTGTTTCAAGATACATTTGATCCCAACTACAAAAATAAATAACTCTCCATCTCTCAGGAAATTTTTTTTCTAGCCTAACATAGACCACAGGCATGCTTGCTAGTATATAAAGTGAAGTCAAAGTATCCACTACCACAATACTTAACAGCACTGTCAGAAGTAGTGTCGGCTGAACAAGCATCGTGCATTAAAACACAAGTCCTGAAATCTGACACATTACTATGCCAAACACATTAAATGTTAAACTAATCATTATAAAATACCTCTGTGGTCATGACCAGAGGCCATTCCTAGGAAATAGAGGAATAAAAGTCCTGATAGGAAGGAAGGTATGCTGTAGGGGAAGGGGCTGGAATGAGCGTGCCAAAGGCCGTTGTAAAGTTTTTAAGCATCGTACAATTAAATGGAGATAAAAGGGGAAGAAGGAAAGGCAACAGGAAAGAAAATTAGAAAGAAATCTGATCTAGCCCTGTGCTCAGTCTGTCAGTCTCGCTCAAGCAAGTACATAGCAAGATGCTCTCTCCCTTAGTCAAGGAGAGGGGTACTCTTCCCTGTCCCAAAATCATGTCTATGAACAGTGAGTACCGTACCTTGCTAACTAGGATTTTGGTGACAGTGTTGGTTGCCAAATATGGTAGAAGATCAGTCTGAATGAATGGAAGAAATTATGAATGGCTACCAGGATAACGAAGAGCAAGTTTCAAGACACACTCATGGAATCACCCTACCCTAAATCCAAACTAAGATTGTTTGCTGCAATCTTGTGTTGCTATGACATGGAAAATGAAATATTATCTGCCACTGTCATAGCCTGCAAGATCCTTTTGGGAATAACTTGTTCCTAATCTCAGTGTTATGCTCTGTAAATAACAGATGCTTGTTAAGAATTTAGATGAGTGAATAAATGTTGTATATTTATTTGAACAATAAGAAAAATAAGAAATCTACAGAATCTTTGATGCTCAGCTGGGAAGGCACACATTTGGTACAACTGGGGTGGATGTTTTAAAACATAAGAAATTAATTTTTTCCACTAATAAAGTTTGTATGGTTTATCAATAAGCCCTTGAATTAACCTAAAAGTGCTCATTGGATATTTAATTCCTACCAATAATACAAAGAAAACTATAAATTAGTGTATTATTTATTATGAACTACTGTTATTCTTATGAGAATGAATTCATCACATTTTCTTGTTATGGAATAGAATTAACTATGTAAAGATGTGTTGCATTTGTTTATGATGAATTTGTTTAACTATGTAAAGATGTGTTTCTGTTTCACCTTGCCTACCTAAGGCACCTGACGGATCTAATAAAAAGCTGATAATAAAAAGCTGCCAATAGCTAAGCAGTGAAGAAATTAGGTGGGGCTGGCCGGCAGAGAGAAGAGGGGAGCCAGACAGACAGACAGACAGACAGATGGGGGCGAGACAGATGGAGGAAGCAGGAAAGCAGGATGGACAGTATATAGATGAGATAAACAAGACTCAGGGTAGCACATAGATTACTAGAGATGGATCAATTTAAGTTAAAGGGGGGAAAACTAGCTAGAAACAAGCCTAAAGCTAAGGCCGAGCATTCATAATTAATAATAAATCTCTGTGTCATGATTTGGGAGCTGGCAGTCCAAGAAAGCCTGCTACATTTTCTTTTACAGAGTGGACATCTGAGAAAAAAAGCTGCTTAAAAACAAATTTCAATAAAGGTTAAGTATTGACATAAAGAAAAGGAGATATGACTGAACCAATATTATACTTACATTCCTGAAAAATATAAATTTGAGTAGAGAAACACTTGGACTGCTTGGAAGTGCTAAAATGGACAGTGATGAATGCCAAAGAGAAAGGTATGGTGTTTTTGTCATTTGTTTACAAAGACTGGTTTATATGAGCCCAGGGCTCCTATATGTTTGGTTGATTAAGGTAGGTAGGTAGGTAGGCAGGCAGGCAGGCAGATAGATGGATGGGAGATTATAGATAGATACATGATAGATGATACATACATACATACATACATACATACATATGATAGAGAGATGATAGATGATGATGGTGATAGATGATAGATAGATAGATAGATAGATAGATAGATAGATAGATAGATAGATAGATAGATGATAGATAGATATGATAGATGATAGATAGATGGGTGGATGGTAGATACATAGATACATAGATAAAGATAGATACATACATACATACATACATACATACATACATAGATGATAGCTTAACAAAAATCTGAAAATAGCAAAAAAGATTAGAAAATGGTTGGTGGGGTAGTGGGAAGAATGATCTAAGGAGGGAAACAAAAGAATAGGTATGACTAAAAGGTCAGGGCTATCAGGTGGATAATACTGCAGACCACCCTTCTAGCTCCACCCTTTACCTAAAGCATTACAATAGGACTACATCAGGTTTATGTTCAAATTCTAGAACATGTTGTCTTACATATTCACCACTTCAGAGATCTCAAAAAACTTTCTACCTAAAAAGTCCCAAAACTGACTAAAGAAATGCTTTCTATTGCCAAATACAGGAATGATAAACCAAAAGCATAACATTGTATTTTACTTTTAATCTCCTTTTTTAGGATTAATCTGAAATTCAAATAACAAAGTTGCCATTTTAAAATGAAATGCTACTGTTAAAATTAATGACAACAACATAAGATGATCGACTTAAAATCCCAATTAGTAGAAGTTTCTTGGTTTGAGAAATAGAGCATTGCAGGGTGGTGGGAATGAAGAAAATTTTAAAAAGATAAAAGGGAAGTAAACAGCTCCAGAGTTGTCTTTTAGGAGGATTAAGGAACAGTCTATGCCTTGAGACAATGGAGCTAAGAAATTGTATGCTATGCATACAAATGATTTATGTTTTGTTTGGTTTTTAGTTGGCATCGTTAGAAATGTTAGAATGTAGAAATGTCAGAGAATTATAGACATAAGATCAATACAGATATTTACATGGAAGCCACCAATTAGGACACCAATAGTATAGCTGTATTAACAAATTGATTGTCAAGTGAAAACAATTGTGTGCATATTGGCTCCCTGGCTGGGATGCCTTTACTCAGGTTACACCACCAGCTTCTTCTAACACTTCTCCCTTCAGGACCCAACACTCATGACTTGGCAAAAGACAGGGATGAGAAATCGTACGACAATAACAACATTCATCCTGCTGGGATTGACAGATGACCCGAAACTACAAGTTCTAATTTTTGTATTTTTGTTTCTCACATACATGTTGAGCGTGGCCGGGAACCTCACCATTATCACTCTCACTCTTTTAGATCCTCATCTTAAAACACCCATGTATTTTTTCCTCCGAAATTTTTCTTTCTTAGAAGTCTCATTCACCACTGTCTGCATCCCCAGATTCCTGCACATGATGGCTACAGGAGATAATACTGTGACTTACAATGCTTGTGCTACTCAGTTGTTTTTCGTTGTCCTCTTTGGAGCAACAGAGTTTTTCCTCCTCGCTGCCATGTCCTATGACCGCTATGTGGCCATCTGCAAGCCCCTGCACTACACCACCATCATGAACAACCGAGTGTGCACAGTTCTCGTCCTGTCCTGTTGGTGTGCTGGCCTGTTGATCATCCTCCCGCCTCTTGGCATAGGCCTCCAGCTGGAGTTCTGTGACTCCAATGTGATCGATCATTTTGGCTGTGATGCCTCTCCCATTCTACAGATAACCTGCTCAGACACAGTGTTCATAGAGAAAATTGTCTTGGCTTTTGCCATACTGACACTCATTATTACTCTAGTGTGTGTTGTTCTGTCCTACACATACATAATCAAGACCATTTTAAAGTTCCCTTCTGCCCAACAAAGGAAAAAAGCCTTTTCCACTTGCTCCTCCCATATGATTGTGGTTTCTATCACCTATGGCAGCTGCATTTTCATCTACATTAAACCTTCAGCTAAGGAAGGGGTGGCTATCAATAAGGTTGTGTCTGTGCTCACAACATCCGTCGCCCCATTGCTTAACCCATTCATTTATACACTTCGAAACAAACAAGTGAAAGAAGCTTTCAAAGACACAGTAAAACGAATTGTGTTTCTCACAAAGAAGTAAGTTTTCTAGGCTAACCCGAATTTAAATCTAAGTAACCACGAGCAGCATTCACTAACTTGACAATGTGTGTCCTCCTATGACATAGATTCATTGAGGTAATTTTTCCCTAAGAACAGTTTCCTCTTATAATCCAAAAATGAAAAATCATGTAAATTGCTTCACCTTCTTTTAAGTCTATTTTACTTAGAATTGTTCCTTCAATTATTGCATTCTTCAAAGATTAGATTACATAAATTCCCAATGCCATACAGTAGACATACAAATAATAAGAGTTGTGTCTCTGGTCGTCTGGCCTTCTCAAGATGTGGGATCTAAATAGCCATGTCTCACTCACTAAATCATGTCTCACTTCTTGGGAATACTTTAATCTCTATCCTGACTCATCAAGAATAACTAAAGACTCTCTTTTAAAGACCTATACCACATTTCAATAGGATCAAAGTTCCAAGGCAAGGAGTAACAACTTTCAGCTGTTGATATTTCACTGGTTTGTCTCATAACACACATGAAGGGGTGCTGGCAGGCCTGCCGCTGCTGAAGGACACCTGTGCACCCTTCTCTTTAAGACCAAGCATCTTTCCCTCCTGTCTTGTTATCTCATCTTCTATAACAAGCTGGCCACGATCAAAGAACTGAAGTTCAGCTCATCTCTCAGCTGCTAACTCAGGCATTTTAGGGATGGTTGATCTGGTGCTATCAGTATATCAGTATCCAAGTTCATGTGTATCTGTGTGATATGCTCCTCTGAAGAGCCCCACTGTGCAAGGTAGTGTTCTAAATCTAAATACCTTAATTAAAAGCAAAAGTAAATGAGACTATTCAGTTAGATTTGTTGAAAATTTATAAAGAAGGATGGAGTCGGGAACTGAACACGCCTTTGAGATGGACCTGACATTTGAACTTTCTTGGTGACAAAGACAGGTGTTATTGAATATGTGAGAAGGAAGATGAAAGATCAAGGTAATTTCTTAAATATGTGTGAAGATTGCATGTATTAGTGATTGACTCTGAGTCACCAATAATGCATTGGTGCCACATTAAGGAAAGAAATAAAAGCACTTTCCCTTGATGTCATTTAAGCAAGAACAAAACCAAATTTGAACTCCCTACATCATGCTCTCTGTATCTTCCATTTGTATGTCAGTTGCATTAGTCTGCATCTGTGTCTGCATCAGTATCTGTCTCTGTGTGTGTCTGTCTGTCTGCGTGGTTGTACCTGTGTGTTTCTTTCTGTGTGTGTGTATGTCTATGTATGTCTATGTGATTCTCTCTCTCCTCCTCTTCCTCCTCCTCCTGTGTGTGTGTATGTATGTGTGTAAGAGAGAAAGATGAGCTATGTGTTCTTGTATGTGTCATGTGTGTCTGTCTGTCTGTCCCCAACAGAGGGCTTCACTCTGACTATATTGAACAGCACAGAAACATCACATTGGGGAGGAATAGAATACTTTACAGAAAACTTTTAACAGAGTTTTAAAGGGATTAAGTCACTGGCTCTGTCTGATCCCAACCAATACAGATAACAAGCGTTGTTTATCAACCAATATCCATAAATGGCTGCTTTCAACCTTTACAGTAGGTTTCAGGAAGTTGTGTACAACTCATGTTTGTTGTTTTCAGCAAATGATACACATGCATTATCTGGGTCAAGAGCATTGGAGAATACATAGCTTAAGATTGCAGCTATGCATTAGCTAGGGTGGTAAAAGTCAGTCATGTGGAAAATCCAAGGCAAGTAAGGTTGGTTCTTACATTGTTCTCTTACAGGCAGTTTAATCAAACAGTTTGAGTACACAGTAGGAGAGCAGTCTTAAGTCTTTAGCCACTTCAAGGTATATTGTTAACTCTAGCTGTGAAGTCCCACAACAGTACCAGTCTCTTAGGATGGAAGAGGCATTTTCAGAATATTGCATCATCACAGATATGTGCAAAGTGGTATATGAAAAAAAAAATGTTATGTTCCCGTCTTTAATTCCTGGAGCTTGTGCCTTGTGTAAGTATTTTCTGTGATGGAATACTCATATTTTAAATTTTTTTTCTGGGTAAATAGTGAAAATCATGGATGTGTTTGGGGAGGTGGTTCGAGAACCAGTAAACATCATAAAAGTAGCTCAGATCAAATTATTGAAATGTTATAAAGTGATAAAGTCTTCTCATTGTTTGTATGTTTTGTAATTGTAAAAATAAAGCTTTGTGCCTTCATAGAGTGTGCACAGCTATTATTTATTCCTACCAAACATCCTTTAATTGCTCAAGTATTTTCTAAATAAGGTCATGGACATATTAAAGGTATAATCCTCTTTTATACTACAAAAATATTCAAAGAAAATAAGATTGTTCTCCAAAAAAATTTCTTCTTTTCATATTTAAAATTTCTAAAATATTGACAAAACATAACTAATGTCCTCAGGCTTCCTTTTGATAATTAAGCACACATCTGCAGGATCTGCATATTTAGTTAGCAGCTGTGTTAATGATTACACCTGAAGTGTGAATGCTTAGCAAGCAGTGTTTAAAAATGGTTGATCTCCTTATTTGCTTTGGACAACAGTGTAAGCTAAGAATATTCTAAAGAATCTTATAGCCAGGCATGCAGTCTCAGCACTGTGGTTACAGAGGCAAGAAGGTCAGGAGTTCCAGGCTGGGCTAGTTAGCAAATTCATCCTAGGCTACACAGCAAGTTCATGACCATCCTGAGCACAGAGACCTTCAAAACACAAAAGGAAAAAATTTTAAGATTTTTTTTTAATCCTGTCCAACCGCCATTCAAGAACCAAGTATATTTAGATGTGATAAATGTTTGAAATTAATTAGGTTCAGAAAAGGCAACCATCTACATGTGTTCTAGAAAATGGGGCATTCTCCTCTTGATCACCTACTCAATAAGAGGAAATGCAAATCAGGCCACATTGTGCTGTCTTTAGCACAGAGCACTCATGGGCAGGGATAGATACAGAACATCAATAACTAAGGTCACTGTTACATCAAATCCAGTCACGACTGAAACCGTACCAAGTTTAATAAACCAAAATATTCAGAACTTTGTAGTGTTAACTTTTACATAAAGATTAGAATTTCATATTGAAATAGCTAATTTTTCCATGCATATCTCCAAAGGTATGTGTCTATGCCACTCTGATATTAACTCTTCCTTCTATACCCCCTCAGAATTACCAGTTTCTTCCAACAAAAAGTTTTTCTGCTACTGGCAACTAAGGATTGCTGAGAATGAGAGAAACAGTCTTCCTCAGAGAAGAGCATACTAATTGGTTATCAATATGAAATGATCATCCCTGAAAACATGCATATATGTAACATTGTACAGACTGGGAAGATTATAGTTAGGAATATCTATGTATATACATATATACATGTAACAGCAATTAATGAAGAAAGAGGCCATGAATTTGAAAAAGGGAGAATGATGTAATTATAATCTCAAAAATAAAAGAATATTGCTTAAACAATAATTTTTTTCTTGAAAGGGTATATCCATGGGGAAAGAAAACCTTCTCACTCATGTGTCATATTCCTGTCAAGTCTGTTAGAGTATTAACCTAAAGTCCTAATCTCCCCGTTAGTCTGTTGAAAGCTGCCTAAAGATATACTGCTTCTGTAGATTTCCCCATCATGATCTTGATGCCCCTAGCTCATAGAATCCCTCTTTCCTCTCTTTGACTAGACTCCCGGAGCTCTACAGAGACAACCAAACCAAGCTAGTGGGAACTCATGAACTTTAGACCAACACCTGTGGAGCCTTTATTGGACAGGACTAGGCCCTCTGCATAAGCGAGAAAGTTGTGTAGCTTGGTCTGTTTAACGGGACCCTGGCAATAGGATCAGGATCTACCCCTGATGCATGAGCTGGCTTTTTGGGGCCCAGCACCTTTTTCTTCTGCACAGCTTCAAAGAAACCCATTGCCTGTGATGTCCCAGGGAGATTCCCTGTTTCTCAGATGGGAGACTCAGAAGCACTGCTGTCCATCCTCAGCCCCACATCTACTACCTGCCTGTGATCCAGGACTCTGGGGCCTCCAGCATCAGCAGCTGTGGTCAACCTCTGATTAACACCCAGTTTCTCAATGAAGATTAGTGGAGAATTTTGTTTCTTTTCTGAAAACCTCAGGATTATGCAGCACTATAGTGGGACACCTTGCACAACCTTGATGCAGCAGGGAGGGGCTTGGTCCTGCCTCAACTGAATGTACCAGGCTCTGCTGACTCCCCATGGGAGGCCTTACCTTGGGAGGAGGGGATAGGGGGTAGGTTGAGGGGGAAAGGTGAGGGAGAGTGGGAGGATGGGTGAGAGGGGGATCTGTGATTGGTATGTAAAATGAATAAAAAATTTCTTAATGAAAAAAGAAAAAGAGGGAAACACTATTTTAAAAAGATATCCTGCTTCTAATTTTTTCTCAATATTATTCTTCCTAATACATGGGGTTTATCATCCTTAAATATTATTTTCTTAAACTCTTCCAAAACCTTCTAGCTTCCAAGTTTTAAAAGTTCACTAATTGATCAGAAGTTGATCTTCAGATTTCCTGCCACAATGTATTTAAAACAGCACTTTACCTCTGTGGGCTTCTTCTCCAGAACCTCAGACAAACCAATTGTGGATCATCCTACAAAATATCTGACCAAGACTCCTCAAAGCTATCAAGATCATTGAAAGTGAGAAAAGAGAATAGAGAAGTCTACTGGGTAAAAGCTTTTAAAAATCTGAATAAATGACGGATTTATTTAACAATAACTTATCAGTGCTGGTTGATTAGTTACAAAAAAACACATCAAAATAATATAAGGTGTCATTAGTAGGAGAAATTGAGCATGTGGCATGTGGTAAGACTCCTCTGTATTATTGTCTCAATTGCTCTGTAATCTAAAACTCCTTCTTAAATGTTTTATTGAAAATATATTTTTTCATTCAATACTCTGATTATAGATTCCCCCAACCAGAATTCCCCACCTCACTTCCCATCCAAATCACACCCTTTGTTTCTCTTTCTCGTTAAAAATGGGCATTTAAAAAATAATAACATAAACTAATGCC